GGAGAGAGTTCTAGAATTCAGGAGCAAATCATCATAAGCTATATATTGAGTTGTGCTTAGAAATGCTGTGTTCAATCCCCGGTTGATCTGCTGCCAGCTGCTCAATCCTATAGAAAACAAGTCTACATACATTCCATAAACAGGCCAAATAAATATATGAGGATCCCTGTTGTACACATTGCTGGCTTTTTATTTTGTCAATAGGGTCACTGGATCAAGAATATGGGTACTATTATCCACATCCTTTCATAAAGTGCAGATTCCTTAGAGAAGGTGGGTAATGGCTAAAAATCACATTTCTCAAGTCTGATTCTATATGGTTTCACATTTTTCCAATATTATGTTGGTACTGTTACGTTTCTGAATGAGCTTGAATTTTTTCTTATAAGACCTACATAAACCTTCTTATAAAAACCTATACTCATTTTAGTAGGCACTTCTTCTAACCAATGTTTTATGCACTTCTAATATACCTAATTTTACATGCAACTGTTGCTAATGTACATTGTGCATTATTTTCCCTTACACATTTCTGTGTACATTTTCATTCTAATATACATATTTTCTTAGGCATGTTCAAGTGGTAGTGTTCAATTTTCAATTGTAAAAATCTGAAAAGCTGCAGATATCACTGTTTAATTATGTTCTAGTTTGCGCAAAGCTTTGGGAGGTGAAAATTAAATAAACTCACATTAAAATGTGAACTAAATGAATTTTCTCTGAAGGTTAACAGTCCCCTCCAATATCTGAGATTGGGGAAAAAAATCCTACATAGGCCTCTCAGCAACAGCCAGATGGTTTCCACCTTTGCTAGACAATAAAATAGAGATAAAATGGGTAGCTGTCACTGTGGCCCAACGTGCTGGTCTTTCTCTCATCTCGATTTGGAGAACAAGAAGGGCCAGAGGCACAGCAAGTAGGAGGAAGGCTTTTGTCAAGTCCAAGTCAAGAGTGGGCAAATTGGCACTGGACATGGATGCTTTAAAGTCTAATGTCATGAAGGAGAAACTGATATGAAGATCCCACCAGTTAGTTTATACCCAGAGCTAGGATGACAGCTTAGTGATTTGAGGCAGAAGTTTTAGCTCACCCCTCTGACTCACTGATTGGTCAATGGGTTGAATTAGAATCTGCTGGCCAAGTTTGTCAATCTTCCTTTTCTTCCTTCATTCTTCCGCTTTCTCAGTGCCTCTTCATGGGTAGAGAGAAGGGGATGTTTTGCAGAGTGAAACTTGCTTGTTTTGTTCCCCAGATTAAAAAAACCCTAAAAGATTGGATATGATTGCTAGAGAGGCTGATCTATATCTTCTTTGGAAGGACAACAGAAATGGATATACAATAGCAGTCTCTTAGAGGTGAGCAGAAATATTTGTAATGAGTAATTCAAGTGAACTACCAAGTGGACCTCCTCATCTTTCCCATTCCATAATCCTCAGCATTCCAGTTGCAAGAAGGAAGAATTGCTGTACTGCAACAGAGAAACTTCCAGCTGATGTTTGCAACCCTTAAATCCTTTGGTATACCTACTAATTTCTTTGCTTTTGTTGCACGTAGCACTAATGTAATTTGGGTATCTAGGCCTATCTTAGCATTTGGGGTTCCGTAGTTGAAGCTGGTAATGGAGAGAGACAAGTTGATAGACTCTGAAGGGAATTATGAATGTCACTTTGTTCTCCAAACAGATTCTCTCTGAAAAGATTATTAGAGTGCAATGCATCAAGGAAGTTATGTGATGTGGTTCCTGTAACAAGCAGAAAAGTGAAAACTACCCTGGGGGTTGGCTTAGTAGGACTGATCAGATGGGAGAGAAACAGTTCAGGCTGTGCTTAAACACAGATCCAAAGGAGATGAAAGAAATGGCATGATCAAGGGCAACAATGTGAATCCTTGGGATGTCTACTTTTACTTCTGAGCATTGTTTTGGAGATAAAAAGAAGGGAAAATACGCCTTCCAGGCATATGAATGGAGACATTATAACCTTAAAATTCTGCATGAAATCTGCCCATTACTCAAGTTCTTTCAGGTGGGTTTTGTGTACTGAAAAGTTCTAAATGATTACATTCCAGGAATGTAGTAAAAACTGTCTGCCTAGTTCTGGCACTGATATAGCATCTTCTTGCTAGTGTTCTCCTAAGAACCTGAGGCATAAGGGTAGGACTATTGTGGAAGACAAGCGTAATGGCAAAGAGGCATGGATGGTCTCCTCCATTTTTCTCTGTGTCTTCTTGTATAAAATGGCTTCTCCTTTCTCAGCCTGTGTGTAGCATAGCCAGGAAAGGCTTTAGATTTCTGACAGCAAACCTCTGCATTAACCTCCTGGTCGCTTGTTGCAATTAACTGTCTTCTCACACAGTTTAATTTAAGAATGTTACCTCTTTCTTTTAGAAGTGCATTGCTAAGGTCAATGTGCAAGGAGGGTGTGAGGGTAAGCTGGTATTGTCTTCTGAAAGCTAGTAGGTAAGAAGTATAAGCGATAAAGGCACTTTATAAGTAATGACGGTTGAATACTATAAAAGCTGGAAAACCCCTTTTGGGGATGAGTTTCAGCACAGGCCATCTGAGGAAAGGTGCTATGCTGTAGCTGGAACTGGGAGAACATTGCTGTTGCTTTTGAAAAAGGGTGGAGCTGCCAACCCCAATTATTGCCTACAGCAACAACAACAACAAGTAAATAATAATAATAACTGCTGAGGAATGCAGGTTTTGCCTGGTATTAACACTCTACGACTGAATGATGCCATGTCTTGTTTTATTCCCTTGCCGGTGAATATTTTCTGTCTATGTTATATTTTGTAGCGAACGTTCTTATTTTGCTTTGCTTAA